CAGGGCGGGGGGGGGGGCAGGCCACCAAAGACAGATGTTCTCCTCCTCTCACCAAGCGCACGCCAAGCGGGCCCTTCGGTCTGGCCGGCAAGAGGAGGAGCCGCTGAAAGGGCTCCCGGCAACAATGGACCTGAAACACAACATCCATTTCTCCCAACTCATTTCCTGGTTCGCTTCCTTTCCCTCCTGCCTCTTGTAAAAACAAGCAAACACAGAACCGCTCGCTCCACATCCGATCTCCCCGGTTCAGCTTCCCTTCTTCCCAAGCGGGCCCTTCGGTCTGGCCGGCAAGAGGAGGAGCCGCTGAAAGGGCTCCCGGCAACAATGGACCTGAAACACAACATCCATTTCTCCCAACTCATTTCCTGGTTCGCTTCCTTTCCCTCCTGCCTCTTGTAAAAACAAGCAAACACAGAACCGCTCGCTCCACATCCGATCTCCCCGGTTCAGCTTCCCTTCTTCCTCCATCTTTACAGTATTTCACTTCCGAGGGCCGGGATGGGGTGTTTCTCGGTACCCCTTTCTCTTTTGGGGATCAAGCTAAACTGGGGGAGGCAGAGTCTGCAAAGAAAAAAAACTTCACCAGCTATTAAAAAAACCCAAAGTTTTGTTGTGGCAGCCTTAATAATTAATCTCCCCCAGCCCCTTGGCAATATCAACTTTACCTGCATGTTGTCTCTGAAGGATTTATTTTATTTTATTTTCCTCCTAGTTCTCAGGGTGACTTTTAAATCTCTTTCCAATTCTGTGGGGGACAGCCCTTTGGATGGAGGCCTCCCCTTCATCTGGAGAAGGAAGGCCCCGCGAGGCGTCCTGGTAAAACCCAGGGTGGGCGGATCGGGGCCCTGCGGCCACTAACCCTTTAATCGGCCTCCGCCAGGTTCTTAAATCCTTAAGCGCTCCCGCTTTCTCTGCAGGGCTGATCCACTTAAAACCGTCCCCAGTGGCTGGCTCTGCACACAAGCCACGGGCCGGGCCGTCGTCGCTCGCCCACACGGAGATGAGCGCTGGCGCCTCTTCCTTAGCCTCCGAGGGTCGGAGTAAGGCAGCCGGGTCCTCTCCGCTCTTAGGGCTGCCGGACCCCTCCAAGAAGGGGGTCTTTCTGCCTTGTAATGCTAGGCCTCCCGGGTGCGATCCTCCACACGAGCTGGTGGCTGGGAGAAGCCGAACAGAGGGAACGGTAGGACGCCTCTACCCGATGCAAAATTAAGTTGTGGAACTCCCTGCCACAAGATTTTAGCTACGGCTTCCGGGGTGACTGGCTTTATCCCAGGAACGGGCAAATTCCTGGAGGTGAGGGGCATCCACGGTGACCGGCCTTAGAGGCGTCATTTGCTCAGTCATGGCAGTCTGCCTGAATTAGACCTCTGGAAGACTAAGGGATTTCGTCCCTTAATAGAGGGGGGGGGGCGAATCTGCTCACTGCAGCAGAGGTGATGATAGCTACCAGCTCCCCAGATGGAGCACCAACCCAAACGTCCCCCTATCCATCATCAGAACACTCCTTGTGACCTGTATGGATGCTTATCACCCCATTATCCCCTCCTAGCACGAGCACCGGGGTCAAACCCAGACTGGCAGGCTTGGCCTTCCATGTTTGGGAACAGCCACAGCTTATATCTGAGAAATAACCCTCAGGGAGGGCCCCGAAGCCAAGACCTTCTGCCAAGGTGCTGTTTTTAAATGTTTAATTCAAGGTTCTAGTCCTAGGGAAACACAGAGCTAAAATGAGCGTCCCATTTCTGGCAGGGCTGACTACGATTCTGCCCCAAGAAAGGATGCTAACAAGCCACATTATGCAAATCGCTGCCCAATTATGCAGACACATCAGTTCCTTCTGATTATAATCCATTTTAAATCAGTGTTAACTTCTGGAGCTGACAAAACTGATTGACCTGAAATGTTAACAAATGTTTGGAAGTATCAGGGAGAGGAAAGAAAAAAAAACAAAGCAGCAGGTGGTCTCTGGAACTCACTGCCACAAGATGGGTTGAGGGCTGTTGGATCTGACAGGTTTAAAAGGTGTGGTGGTCTATGAATGGCTGGGAGCCACAATCAGACGTGGTTTGTTCCTGAAAGTCGGCTGCTAAAGGGACACAAGAAGGGAGTCATCAGAAGGAAA